CCCCCCCCCCCCCCCCCCCCCGCCCCCGCCTTGGTTATCCTCAAAGGTTGTTTATATGGCATGAAGAGAAGGCGCCTTTGCCAACAGGCAGGCTTGGCTCGCTCGCTGCAGGTCCAAGGGGCAGCACCAGATGGAGAGGCTTCCTCTCCTCTTCTGGTGAGGGAAAAGCTCCCAGCAGGGACAGGAACTGAGCCAGCGCGCTGGAAGCAAGCAGGGTTGGCTTGCAGGGAGGCACGAGAGCTCCCACTCACTCACGCAGGGCCTTCTTCAGAACAGGGGCTCCCTCCTGGGTATCATGTGGCGACCCAAATTCTTCAGAGCAACTTACCTTACAGACTGGCATCAGTGACACCCTACTCCCCAGGTGGCCGGCCTAGGGAACGTTGACTCTTGGCTCTTGGGGCTGGGGCCAAAGTGCTGAGCGCTGCTTTGCAGAGGTGTTGCGGGGGCGGGAGGAGCAAGGAAGCTCGCCATTGCCCTGGGGCGACCCTTCGCCATCTCCTCGCCTCTCCCCTGAGCGCCTGCTTTTTTACCTTTGAGAGGGAGGGGGGTTTGCTCACCCACTGAGGGAGCACTAGAAATGTTATGGGGAGCTTTGGGGGGGCGGTGAGCTCAAAGCTCATTCCCATGGGATGGGAGCAGTCGGGAAAGGGGTGGCACGCCTCCCTGGGAGCAGTTGGCCTGTGGTCACCCAGCAGGCAGATCTCTTCGTCGTGTTCACGGGCCGGGCCTTCGTTTATGGACACTTGATGCTTCAACTTTCGTCCAGCTTCATCACCTCCGACGACTGTCACCCAGCATAATGGCCCGGGAGGGCTGGCTGCTATGACCTGGTTGCAAAGTGTTTTGCAGATAACATATTTGCTCATGTTTACTCGGAGCTGGATGGAGTGACAGGGTGAGCCTGTGGACAGTTGGGCTGGATTCTGGCCCCATTTTGGTATGAGCAAATGCCCCCCGAGAGAGGGGTAATGCTACCAGCCTTGGAAAAAGGGATGGCACACAAGCGCACACCTGCAAAGAGGCCATCCCTCAGTCCATCCATACTTGACAGTTTTTCCCATTTCTGAAGATTGTTGAGAAAATGGAGAGTTGGCCTGCTGGTCCTGTGGGACCCACGTCAACCTTCAGCTCTTTTGACTGATATCCTTCTGGACTATCTGCCAGGATTGGGAGCAGAAGGCACTTCAGCTCTTTCTCGTTGGGGGGGGAGGTCGCATGGGCTGGGGAAGGAAGGTTTGAGTCCTTGGGGATGCCAGCGTGGGGTGCCTCAGGGGTGACCCTCTCTCTCTCTCTCTCACTGTGTAACATCTACAAGAATCGGCTAGGAACGGTCATCTTTCAGCAGAGCATGACGCATCATCAGTGTGCATGATGACACCCATAGCGCCCATCACAGGAGTTGTGGTGGATGTCTTGACCTGGTGTCTGGAGGTTGTCAGGGTCCAGATGGGGAGAAACAGGCTTAATCCCAACAAGGCAGAGTGGCCGTGGATTGGAAGCCTTCTCATTTCAGGGAAATTTCAACTTTGGCTCTGGGTGGGATTGCACCCGACCCTCAAAAGAGCAGGCCCCTGATTTGGCAGTTCTCCTGGATTCACTGTGTCTACAGGAAGAACCATGGAATCATAGAGTTGGGAGAGGTCATCAAGGATTCACTACACCATCCCCAGTAGATGACGATCCAGTCTTTTTGAAAACCTCCAGTGAAGGGGAAGAAACCACTCCATGCGGTAACCTATTCTACTCACTAACAGCTCTTGCTGTCAAGTTCTTCCTCATATCTAACAACCTTGAAGTTTCATCCCATTAGTTCTAGTCGTACCCTATGGAGCAAATGAGAAGAAGTGAGAACCCTCTACAATGTGTCTGCCCTTCAGGTGTTTGAAGACAGCTGTCATGTCCCCTCTCAACCTTCTCTTCTGCAAGCTAAACATATCTAGGTCTTTTCACTGTTCCTCGTAGAACTTGGTTTCCAGTCCTTTCACTGTCTTAATAGCCCTTCTCTGGGCTTGCTCCAGTTTATCAATGTCCTTTTTAAACTGGGCTGTGCAGAACTGAATGCAACTTCAAGTGAATAGAGCGGAATCATGATTTCCCACGATCTGGATAAGGGCAGGTGGAAACTGTGGCCTGAGAGGGCCCAGTTGGCTGGGGCACCGTGGGTTTTCCTGAGCTGGGAGATAGCAACAACAGTCACTTGTGTCCTGGTCACCTCAAGGTTGGAGTACTGCAACGCCCTCTACATGAGGGTCTCCTTGAAGATCATCACCCAGAAACATCTGGACCTGTTACTGCCACTTGAGGCCCCCTTTGTGAGGGAAGCTGCGTTGTTCACTGCCCTGTTTCTGAGTGCAGTTCAAATGCTGGCCCTGACCTTTAGGGCCCCACCTTGCTTGGACCTGGGTATCCACTGTCTACTCCTGGCAGCTCGGGGTGGTCCAACAGAGGAGGTGTGTGGCCAGTCTTCCTCCAAAAGAGGGTCCTGGAGGCAAGCCCTCTCGTTGTGGTGCTCCTCCTTTGGAGGGGAGGATGGCCCCACCCTGATGCCACTTTGAAAGGTGGTTAAGTCTTGGCTTTTCAGTAGAGCCCCTTTGGGGACATAGAGTGGGGTAGATGAGTGGAGATGGCACGCCTGAAATGTTATTTTTACATTGTTGGGTTTTTGTTTTTGTGTGGGTGCCCTCAAGTCAGTTTCGGACTCCCGGCGACTGCCTGGACGAGTCCCTGCAGTTTTCTTGGCAAGGTTTATTGGAAATGGTTTGCCATTACCTCCTTCCTAGGGCTAAGGAAAGTGACTGGCCTAAAGTCACCCAGCTGGCTTTGTGCCTAAGGCAGGACTAGAACTCACCGTCTCCTGGTCTCTAGCCTGATGCCTTCACCACAACACCAAACTGGCTCTTGTTGTTGTTAATTGGTTTTATTAAATTTTAACCTTCCTTAATAGGGTTTCATAAGGGACTTAGGTCTGGGGACTGAAGCAACCTGTAACCCCTAGTAATAAATAATGAATTAATAAATACAGTGGTACCTCTAGTTACGAACTTAATCCGTTCCGTGACTCTGGTTGCAACT